AGTATGCCTAGAATAAAGGTGGTTGGGATTAGAATTGGGTGACACTGATCAGTAGTTTAATTCAGAAGTATCTCTTCCCAACTCAAAAGTCTCACTTTGGGCTGAAAGTACACAGGAAGAAGGTAGACTTCTAAGAAGAGTCTGAGTAAGTCCCCAACTTCTGGAGGCCCTTTCTCAATTCCTGTTGGGAGTGGGAAATACTATAAATTACTCTGGGCATTAAAAATAGCTTAGTTTAACCTGGATTGTGGGGTTAAAAAATAACAGAGATAGCACTGGCCAAATCTGGACAATCTGACCATTCAAAAGAATAACAACATTAGAAAGTTACAACATCGTTAATATAAAGAAGAATCCATGAAGGGTGATATTCAAAAAGAAAAAGGGGGAGTTCTTCAATGAAATAATGCCAGCTAGTATATGTAGAAGGAATGACAGAATTTTACAAAGTGTCACTTTGCAACCACCAATCTAATAAAAATTCTTTCAGACAAGGATTATCCTTGATGCACATTTGGGTGAAAAGACATTTGAGAACAGGATCTTCACTGAACTCAAAGTACCAACCCACAGATTATTTATTACCAAGGGGGAAATGAGTATTATTTTTTTTTTTTAATGAGACAAGGTCTCACTCTTTTGCCCAGGCTAAAATACAGTGGCAAAATTATAACTCATTGAAACCTCAATCCCCCTTGACTTGGGCTCAAGTCATCCTCCAAATTCAGCCCCCTCAGTAGCTGGGAGTATAGGCTTGCACCACCATGCACAGCTAATTTTTTTTTTTTTTTCTTTTTTTGTAGTTTTAGTAGTGACAGGGTTTCACCATGTTGCTCAGGCTGGTGTAGAACTCCTGGACTCAAGCAATCCTCCCACCTTGGCCTTCCGCAGTGCTAGGATTACAAGTGTGAGCCACTGCAGCCAGCAAAATAATTACAATGGAGAGATCTGGAAGATCACCTTAATCAAGTGATCAAACTTAGTATTACAGGCCACCTGCGGTTACGAGGCAGGAAGGATACATATGCAGTATTTTTCCCAAAAATGCTGAACTTGAATCTCATCATGAGGAAACCGACAAATCCAGATAGTGGGACAATTTACAGGACAACGATCTTTGACTCTTAAAAAATGCCAATGTCATGAAAGATCAAAGAAAGTAGAGGAATGTTTTAGATGAAAGGAAACGAAGACATGACATGCAGTGCCTGATCTTCAGTTGGATTCTGTACTATTCTTTCATCTTTCTGGCATGTTTGAATTTTCTTCAAAATGTAAATTTGGGAAGAAGAGATAACCAAGACAATTGATTAATTTATTGCTATGGCTTATTGGGGGCAGTTTCAGAGAGATAAAGACAATCCCTGTAACTGAAGTAAAAGGTTAATCTCAGGGAGTATAGCATGGTCATTAAGAATACAGATTTCACAGCCAGACTAGGCTTAAATCCCAGCTCCGCTAATAATGTGAATTTGGGCAAATTGCTTAATCTCTGTTCCTCGACCTTGTCATTATAATAGTACCTACCTCTAATGAGTTTTGAGGATTAAATGAATCAATACCTGAAAAATGCCTGGCACACAGTGAGTGCTCAATAGCAGTTAACTACTATAATTATTATGTTGCAGAGGTTGTGGGGGGCCTTTTCTGAGTCCTCCAAAAGGATGGCTTTATTAGGGCCACATTAAGACTGTGGAGACAGAAGAGTGTTTCATGGATACATGAAGTCTATGAGTTGGGGGTAAAATGTATATAGAGTTTTAGATTAAAAATGCATCCAATAAGTTGGCCTGACACATCTTTCAAACCTACAGAGGAATAATCACAAGGGACTGGTATTATTCCTTTGGGTCCAGTGGAAGCCTTTGATCTTCATGTGGAATGGACCCAGAACCGTACCCCAGCATTTTATTATACAGCAACCTTAACTCTGACACAAAGGTGTTTCTTTTGTTTGTTTTGAGGCCGGGTCTCGCTCTGTTACACAGGCTGAGTGCAGCGGTGCAATCTCGGCTCACTGCAGCCCCTGCCTCCTGTGCTCAAGTGATCCTCCCACCTCAGCCTCCTGAGTAGCTAGAACTACAGGTGTGTGCCACCACGCCTGGCTCATTTTTGTATATTTTGTAGAGATGGGGTTTCACCATGTAGTCCAGCCTGGTCTGGAACTCCTGAGCTCAAGCAACCCTCTCTCCTTGGCCTCCCAAAGTGCTGGGATTATAGGCACGAGCCCAAAGGTTTTGTGTTATTTTCCTGCCCCCAACTTTTTATTTTAAACATTTTGTTTTTTTCCTTTAAGCCTTAGGATGGCTGGGAAGCCTTTTTGAATGGTATAATGAACACCTGTATAACTTTCATCTAGAATCAACAGTTGCTAATACTTTGCCACATTTGTTTTCCATGTGTGTATCTCTATACATTTTCTGGACAAGCCATTTGAGAGTCAGTTCCAGACATAATGACCCTTCACCATTAAATACTTCAGTGTGCAGCCCCTAAGAACCAAGGCATTCTCCTACATAACCAGAATACTATTATCACCCAATGGAACTTAATATTATCATTGTCTACTATGTAGCCCATATACACATTTTCACAATGTCCCAGTCATAACATGGCTTAAACAAATTCAGAATCCAGTCAAACATCAGACATTGCACTTAGTGCATGATTCTTTAGTCTCCTTCAATCTAGAACTGTTCCCAGGAATGTTTTAAGTATATTGACAAACCTTTGAGACTGTAAATGACCTGAGGTATATGTTATCCTTACTTGAGAATAATTTTTCAATATGCATTAAAGATCATTACACATGAGCCAAGACTCAAATGCGCTGGCCTACTTACTTTGTATATCAATGTGTAAACTCCTGAAGACTTCCAGTAATGAACTCCCATAAGGCAGTTAGTTCAATGTCTTTATGGCCTCAGTGACAAATGGTTACAGAGAATGAGAGCTTTTTTCCTATCCACTAATGGTCAAGAAAAAAGCAGACAGATCCTCACTGTCTTAGAGAACCAAGTGAGAAAGCTGGTCAATGAAGAGGACTTCATCCAGAGAGGAAGGGATCTAGCTGACAGGGAAGATGCTGCAAGAGGCTGAGGGAAGTGCGGCTAGAGCAGTAAAACAGATCTGACAGCCTGGAGAAGATAAGAAAGTGACCTGACAAAAATGAATGGAGCAGTGCTAAATGAAGGGCCCTTTCCATGCTAATCTTGCATACTGCCCTCAACCAGCCTTAGCATAAAAGAGTTTCTATTTAGCTTGCTATATGGTGGGGTGGTGGCACTATTTAAGTTGCAGTAAAATGTGTAACAAACTCACAATAGGGCCCTGCAGGCATACATATATATATACACACACACACATATCCTGCAAAGAAGGCCAGGCACGGTGCCCCATGCCTGTAATCTCAGCTCTCTGGGAGGGTGAGGCAGGAAGTTCACTTGATACCAGGAGTTCGAGACCAGCCTGGGCAACAATGAGACCTCGTTTCTACAGAAAAAAAATAAAAACAAAAATAAAATTGCAAAAAAGAAGATACCTCACATCATGTATGCAAATTAACTCAAAATGGATCATAGACCTAAATGGATACAATTTCTGGGAGAAGACATAGGAGAAATCTTTTCAACATTGGATTAGACAACAGTTTCTTAAAAGATTTCTTAGGTAAGAAACAAAAAATCACAAGCCATTTAAGAAAAAATTGGTAACTTAAAGCTGATCAAAATTAAAAACTTCTGCTCTTCAAAAAACATTTTTATTTTTTATTTTTTGAGACAGAGTCCCACTCTGTCGCCCAGGCTGGAGTGCAGTGGTGCAATCTCGGCTCATTGCAACCTCCACCTCCCAGGTTCAAGCACTTCTCGTGCCTCAGCCTCCAGAGTAGCTGGGATTACAGGCGTGGGCCACCACACCTGGCTAATTTGTGTATTTTTAGTAGAGATGGGGTTTCCACACAACTGGAACACTACTCAGCAATAAAAAGAAGTGAACAGCTAGCTGTCCCTCGGTGTCTGCAGGGGATTGGCTCCAGGACCCCCTGCAGATACCAAAGTCCATAGATGCTGAAGTCTTTTATATGAAATGACATAATGTTTGTATATAGCCTCAGGTATACTTTAAATACCTAATACAGGGTAAAGGATATGTAAATAATTATACTGTATTTTAACTTCTACTGTTTTTATTGTTGTTTTATGCATTTTATTTTTTCCAAATATTCTCCATTCATGGTTAGTTGAATCCATGAATGAGGAACCTGCAGATACAGAGGGCCAGCTGTAGTGATGGGTGCAACAACGTGGATGGTAGCAGAATCTCAAAACAAATTATGCTGAGCGAGGCCAGGCGAGTGGATCACATCTGTAATCCTACCACTTTGGGAGGCCGAGGTGGGCGGATCACTTGAGGTCAGGAGTTCGAAACCAGCCTGGCCAACATGGTGAAATCTCGTCTCTACAAAAAATACAAAAATTAGCCGGGCGTGGTGGCATGCGCCTGTAATCCCAGCTACTCGGGAGGCTGAGGCAGGAGAATCACTTGAACCTGGGAGGCGGAGGTTGCAGTGAGCCTAGGTCATGCAGCCTGGGTGAGAGAGTGAGACTTTATGTCTCAAAAAAAAAAAAAAAAGTGAAGTGAAAGAAGCCAAACACAAGAGGCAACATGCTGTATGATTTCATTTATAAGACATTCTGGAAAAGGCAAAAGTATAGGAACAGAAATCAGATTAGTAGTTAATAGGGGCTGATGCTGGGAGGAGGGGATTGACTACAAAGGGACATGGAGGGCCTTTTTGAGGTGTCAGAAATGCTTTATATTGGGAATGTGGTGGTGGTTATGTAACTATACATTTGTCAAAACTCATCAAACTGTACCCTTAAAAAGGGTGAATGTTAGTATATGAAAATTACACCTCAATAAACCTGATATAAGAAAATAATAAAACAAATCTAAAGAACCAACTAAGTGAAAATAAATCTAAGAAGAGAATAACTTACAGTTTTTCCAGTTCAACAGTCATCGTGAGAATGTTCTTAAGTGTTGTAAGTGGAACTTGCGTTTTTCCCATGTCTCTGAAGAAGAAAGTCGAAACATTCATGATATGAACCCCAATAAAAAATTCTGTACTTAAAAAGATATTTCAAGGACATGTGATTACTTCAATTTTGGCTTCTCTATAAAACAAGCCAGCTCAAGAGTTTATTTGCTGTAGAATTCCGGGGAGCTCTTATTAGAGAAATTTAAGTTGATTTGCATCATCAAATTCATGATATTCAAGAGCAGAACTTACACCTTTTTTTTTAACCATTATCTTCTCATTTTCATATTGCATTTACCATCTTATTTACTCTTTTCTTCATTTTTACAATAATGAATACCTTTGCCCCTTTGCTTTCTTAGTTAAATAATATTCTTCCATGTGTCTACATGTTCCAAATCTATATAGGTTCTTCAACACTGTTCTCTTCCTCTGCTGGCTGTCTTGACCATTATACATCCTCTTTAATTTTTTTCTTTGTCAATAACCCAGTTAAAATTTAAATTATGAAATTTTAGCCTAAATACAAAATACTTAAGTTTGATGAAAAATTTAAAAAGCATAAATCATCTCATGACTCGTGAGAGTACTATAGTACTTACAGATATTTTAATGCTGGCAATTTAAAGAGATACGGATCTTCAACAGTTGTCAGAGGATTGCGATTGAGAATTCTGAAAAATGGAATGGAATTAACCTGAATTTTCAGTATATGAAACTGCAACTAAAATTTATATTCATTTTTTGGTACAGAACTTGTAGGTAAAAAAGAAAAAAATGTTTTCTGTTTTTACCTAATCAATCACCATTAGACTCTGTAAAGCACTATTCCTCTGGGAATTACCCAGGTCTCTAGAAGATAAAGTAGAGGAGAAAACAAGGGGAAGAACTACCAGGGAAAAAAAGTGGATAGCAAAGAAAAAATACGCCACAGAACTTTTCAGGTCAAAAACCCTACAAGTGACTATGTTGGTAGGAAGTGCTGACTGTGTAGCAAACACTATTTCTAGCGTCCTCCATAATTCAAGTTGCTCATCACAATTCAAGTTGTGTTTTTTGTTTTTTGTATTTTTTGGTTTGAGATGGAGTCTCACTCTTGTTGCCCAGGCTGGAGTGCAACGGCTCAATCTCGGCTCACTGCAACCTCCACCTGCCAGGTTCAACTGATTCTCCTGTCCTGCCTCAGCCTTCCAAGTAGCTGGGATTACAGGCACCCACCATCACGCCCAGTTAATTTTTGTATATTTAATAGAGACAGGGTTTCACCATGTTGGCCAGGCTGGTTCTGAACTCCTGACCTCAGGTGATCTACCTGCCTCAGCCTCCCAAACTGTTAGGATTACAGGCGTGAGCCACTGCAGCTAGCTGCTTGTCTTTTATCTTTATAAAGCTTTTAAAATTTATGATTTAATTTGCACAGTTAAAAAAAAATAGGACCAATTACTTTGCTTTATAGCCAAAGAAAAAGGAATAAATCTAAGAGGAGGAACTGGTCAAAACCATACTCTCACTTTCTTCTTGTATGACATCACAGCCTTTCTTACACTGCATGTAATCACCTGTCCACCTGTCAGTCTCCTGGACTAGGAGCTCCTTGAGGGTAGAGATCACATTTTTTTTTTCTTTTTGAGACGGAGTCTCACTGTGTCACCCAGGTTAGAGTGCAGTGGCACAATCTCGGCTCACTGCAGTCTCCGCCTCCCGGGTTCAAGCAATTCTCCTGCCTCAGCCTCCCGAGTAGCTGGGATTACAGGTGCCCGCCACCATGCCCTGTCTTCCCTGTGCCTGGCATGATGTCTGAAATGTATTAGGCATTTAACAAATGTTTATTGAATAAACAAACGGCATTTTGTTTATATGTCAATAAAATGAATAAATTGGTTTTGATGCAAATTTTTATTCCAAAATGTTGGAATCCATTTTCTTTTTAATCCTTTAAAGCGAACAAGAAAAAGAAAAGAAACATGAAGAAGTAAAAGAAAATCTGCTTTTAGGTTAACCAAAGAATCATCATTGTACTTCTGCAGAAATTATACAAATAATAATTATCATAGTGAGTATCTACTGGTTTGCAACGTATTTGTGATTAGAATTTCACCTTTAATCCTCACAATAACCTTATGTGGTAGATATTATTGCCCTATTTTATTTTTTTAATTTTTTATTATTGCCCTATTTTTAAATGAGGAAACTGGGGCACAGAGAGGTTATATACCTTGTCCTAGGCCACTAAGCTATTAAACAGTAAAGCTGTAATTTGAACTCGTGTTTAATCTGTATGAAGAAAAAGGGTTTAATTTAACCTTACTTTTTTTTTTTAATTTTTATTTTTGTTCATTCTTTTTCTTTTTCCTTCTTTCCTTCCCTACCCCTTCCTTCTTTCTATTTTATTCCCTTCCTTTCTCCTCTCCCCTCCCCTCCCTTCCCCTCCCCTTCCCTCCCCTCCCCTTCCCTCCCCACCCCAACAGGGTCTCGCTGCATTGACCAGGCTGGAGTGCAGTGGCATGATCTTTGCTCACTGCAACCTCTGCTTCCCAAGCTCAGGTAATCCTCCTTCCTCAGTCTCCCATGTAGCTGGACTATAGGCACGCACCACCACGCCTGGCTAATTTTTGTGTTTTTAGTAGAGATGGGAGTTTCATCATGTTGGCCAGGCTGGTCTTGAACTCCTGAGCTCAAGTGATCTGCCTGCCTTGGCCTCCCAAAGCCAGCCTTAATGTTGAGAAGACTAAATACAGAAATGCCTTTCAACCTTCTTCTACTCCTCTGGGAGGGCCTCTATGAGAATTACAATTTCTCATTAGCAGTTCACCGCCACGCTTGCCTAAAGTTCCAGCTGTTCAGGAGGCTGAGGCAGGAGAATTGCTTGAACCCAGGAGGCGGAGGTTGCAGTGAGCCGAGATCAAGCCACTGCACTCCAGCCTGGGTGATAGAGCAAAATACAGAGGATTACAGTTTCTCTTTTTATGTCTTTCCCCTAATCATTTCCCATGATTAAATAGTTAATTAGTCTATGGTCAATTAGACTTTTTTTTTAAGGGACACATTCTCAGTCACTGTGTTGCCCAGGCTGGAGAGCAGTGGCTATTCACAGGCACGATCCCACTAGTGATCAGCATGGGAGTTCCGACCTGCTCCATTCCCGAACGGGGCTGGTACACCCCTTTTTAGGCAACCCGGTGGTCTCCTGTTCCCGGGAGGTCACCATACTGATGCTGAACTTAGTGAGGACACTCAATCAGCATAGCACGCTACAGCCCAGAATTCCTGGACTCAAAGGATCCTTCTTCCTTTGCCTCCCGAGCGTCTGGGAATACAGGCACGTGCCTGGTGAGCCTTTAGAGATTTAAAACCATGCTGTAAGTGACATCAGTGAAAATGGTGGAATAAAGACATCCGAAAATTCGTCCTTTCATAAAAACAACCACTACCAAAAAAATTGTACAAAAATAAACTTGACCAGAATAAACTTTTTCAGAACTCTAGAAATTTAACCAAAGTCTTGCAGTGACCCCAGGAGCATTTATGCAAGAAAAATGTCTGTAAGAAAAGTGAGATTTGTGTTAACTTGCCTTAGACCATTCCTCACTCTCTAGCTCAGTAGTCGCCTTGAAAAACAGCCCACATCCCCAACCAGAGGGAGCAGAATGGAACTGGAGCTGCTTCAAAGCCTTATTCTCAGTTAACTGTCATGATGTCATCTGTCTGGTGGTTCCCTGGAAGACCTCATTTGAAAGATTTGTCTTTATTTGACCAGAATAAAAGATGTCTAGTGCTAAAGCCTCTCCATAGAGGGTGTTTTTGGAAAACAATTACAGTGTTTTAACATGGCAACTATATTAGGCAACGAATAACAGTTTGGGGGAAAAAAGCCTAATCAAAAAGCTTAATAGGAAGAGCTGAGGAGAGATGTCCACGGGAATTTTGAACCAGTCTGATATATCCTTGGGAAACTAGAAGTCCATAAGACGTATTCCTGGCAATTTAGAATGTCGTGCACATGCATAGGGCGGGCTGTCAGCATGGTCAGGAAAGACCTACTAAGTTCCTTCTACTACTTGTGACCTACTACTAAGTTCACAAACTCTCACCCCTGGCTGATCTTGAGGTTCTGCACAAGCAAGAAGTGAAAGCTAAGGCATGGCTGTAAACTGTCTGGCTGAGTGCTGAAGGTATGCCCCAACATGTACACAGAGCCCCTTGGCAAAAACTACATTTATCAGTTTCAAGAATTTAAGTAAATCTCCATTTAATTATTAGCTGATCGGTAAGCTAACCAAGGAGAGACTTCAGTGGCCACACATGATATATAACGCAAGACTTTACCGAAGAAGTTCAGAAAAGTCACTAAATAAATAGCAACTACTAACACAAGCAGCAGTAACACCAAACCCTGGGAGCATGGATCTGATTTTCAGAATTGCTACATTATATTATTTAAAATACTCAATTTTCAACAAAAATTTATGAAAGATGCAAGAAAACAAAGTATGGTCCATACATGTGGTGGGGGCGAGAAATAAGCAGAAATTGTTCCTGAGAAAGACCAGATGTTAGACTTACTAGACAAAAAAAAATTTTTTTTTTGTAGAAGTGGGGACTTTCTAAGTTGCCCAGGCTGGTCTTGCACTCCTGGCCTCAACCTCAGCCTCCCAAAGTGCTGGGGTTATAGGCACAAGCCACTACGCCTTCCCTAGAGAAAGATTTAATTCAGCTATTTAAAATATGTTCAAAGAGATAAACCATTCAGTTCTGTAGACTAGAGAACTAAAGCAAGTATGAAAGCAATGTCTCATCAAATAGAGAATATCAATAAAGAGATAGAAACCATAAAAAGAAGCCAAATAGAAATTCTAGAGTTGAAAAGTATGGTAACTGAGATGGAAAAATTACCAGAGGTTCTCAATGGCACGTTACATCAGGCAGAAGAAAGAATTGGGAACTTGAAGGTCAATTTAGATATTTACTCTGAGGAACAGAAACAAAAATGAATGAAAGTGAATGGAATCTCAGAGACCTGTTTGTGGAACACAGCATCAAGCTAACAAACATATACATAATGAGAGTCCCAGAAGGAGAAGAAGAACAGAAAAAAGGAGAAAGAACATTTGAAGAAATAATGGCCCCAAACTTCCCAAACGTGATGAAAAACAATCTGCATATTCAGGAAGCTCAAGGAACTACAAATAGGAAGAACTCAGGGATCCACATCTAAACATACTATAATCAAACTGACAGAAGCCAAAGACAGAATATCTTGAAAGCAGCAAGAGAAAAGCAACTCGTCATATACAAGGGATCCTCAGTAAGATTAATAGATGATTTCTCTTCAAAAACAATGGAAGTGCTGGGCATGGTTGCTCACACCTGTAATCCCAGTACTTTGGGAGGCTGAAGGCTCAAGAATTGCTTGGAGTCAGGAGTTGGATACAGCACGGGCAATGTAGTAAAATCCTGTCTCTACAAAAAATTTTTAAAAAGCTGGCCGTGGTGGCGCATGCCTGTAGTCCCAGCTACCCAGGAGGCTGAGGTGACAGGATTGCTTGAGCCTGGGAGGTGGAAGCTGGGAGGTGGAAGCGGTGAGTGGCTGCACCACTGCACTCCAGCCTGGGTAACAGAGGAAGACCCTGTCTGAAAACAAAACAAAACAACCACACACAATAGTGAAGGCCAA